GCATTCCAGACAGCGAGACTGATGTCTATATGGTTCTTTGATTCAGTAGAAAAAAGGATTTCTGTTCTGTTTCATAGTAACTTGCAAACTGAAACAGGCAAGGAGGAAGTAGGCAGGCAGTTGCATCAGCCTGTCACTTACATGTCTAAAAGCCATGGATGCTTGGGTTGCACTGGGGAGATGTTTTCCAGGGCTCCCCAACAGACTCTCTCTCTCTCTCTCTTTTTTAAAAGATTCATTTATTTTTATTGCAAAGTCAGATGTACAGAGAGAAGGAGAGATAGAGAGGAAGAACTTCTGCCCGATGATTCACTCCCCAAGTGAGCGCAACGGCCAGTGTTGCGCCGATCTGAAGCCAGGAGCCAGGAACTTCCTCCAGGTCTCCCACACAGGTGCAGGGTTCTAAGGCTTTGGGTCGTCCTTGACTGCCTTCCCAGGCCACAAGCAGGGAGCTGGATGGGAAGTGGAGCTGCTGGAATTAGAACTGGTGCCCATTTGGGATCCTGGCACGTTCAAGGCGAGGACTTTAGCTGCTAGACCACTGTGCCAGGTCCTGTAACAGACTCTTAGCTCTTGACTCTGGTACTAGCTGATTACTTCTCTAAAGCAAGTGCACACCTGGACAGCTTGGATTTGTCCTTCATTTAAATCTCACCGATTTAAAGTATTCCCACACAGCAGTTACTTCAATACAAATGACTCCTGTCATTACTTACTTTCCAGTTACAAACAATTAGCAATTAAGATGCATAATTGAGTAAATAACATTCACAGAAAAGACTTTATTTAGAAATCGTCATATGTTTTACAATAATGTGTACAAATATGTTACAAAAGCACCTGCATGAAACTCAGCTTTGGTAATCACCTTTTATTTAGAACTTTTATTGTCCACTTGTGTTAGATTCTCAGGAGCAGATTCCCTGCAGGAATGAGCAGTTCATCAAATGCTGAGACTTGGAGCAATTTTTTCAGTTCTATTGCTTGAATCTTACCTTCAATATTCATACCCAATTTCAGGTTGCTCTTCTATGATTAGCTTTTTCTTTTTTCTTTTTTACTACACAGGTGGTGACTTTAAACCGGCATTCTGTTCGCATTTATTCAAGTTAATGAGCATGGGTAAAATTTCCTTGTGTGTGAAAATATTTTTAGAGTAAGAATTTTAAAAAAAAAGGTCAAGTTTTTTTCCCAAAGCACTTTGTGACAAGTTTATCTAGAGTGGCAGTTTATAGCTTCAAAGAGTCTATGTTTCTTAAACAGAAAGTGAAATAAAGTATAAACTAGGAAATGTATCTTAACAAATGTTACAGATAGGTATCCTGGGCCCAACGGAGGAAAATATAAAGACAAAATGAAATTGTGTGTGATCTTTGTGAATTTACTCTCTCTAAAACAAATGAGGTTATTATGTAGGTAGGGCAGGAAGCAGTGAGCAAAATATCCAAGTGATTGAATGCATGGCTCTGAACAGAACAGAAAAGCAAAGGATAAAGAAGCAAAATTATGAAACCAGGGCAAGTTTCCAAGAAAGAGAAAAAGCCAAAGCACAATTGTCTAGGAGAAAAAATTAGAAATGTTCAAGAATAAAAGGAGATGCCTCTTGTAAGAGACTTGCAATTACACACGGAGAAAGAGAAGGCCCACAGAAATGTTGTCTGTAAGAATCAGAAAGAGAAAGCTATTAACAAAAGATTGTGGAAAGGCAGGTGCTTTTCATGGGTCCTTTCCTTCTGTCTCTTTTCAAAAACTTGCAGCTGTGTCAGTTAAACAGGGGAGATACCATTAAGTACAGGTTCATTCTTGACATAAATTGAAGGAAACCAAGTATCTGGAGGGTCTCACTCTAGAACTTAGAAACATAAGGATGTCTAGAAAATTTTAAGAATTGGTTTATCACATTAATAACAAATTTTCACAGAAATTTGATGACATGTACCTGAGAAGGAAGTCCTAAGATGACAAATTCAACACATTGGAACATTCTGGGATAATCAATGCAGTATACTACATGCCTTCATTCCTGATTAAAATAGGCAGGCACACAGACAACATCTGAAGTATAATCTAGCAAAGATAAAAATCAATTTCCTTATATTACTTCCACGATATCTCTTTTCTTTATTTTTTTTCTAAAACTCCCTATTGAACCAAAAAATCATAGATCGTTTTTGACATTCTATATATTATCTTGTTTTTCTGAGACTCAGAACTCATTGAAGATTGTGAATTGTCCCAGAAATCACAGAAAGAATTTTGAAGTGTAAACAATGACCACTGGCATTTGGTGGATTTGGGCTTCTCTCCAGAGCTCTGGTGCTCCTCTTGAAGATCCTAGTACATCTGTGCAGAACACGCATGTGCAGAAGGCAAATCTGAACTTGTCAGCAGGCCAGATCACTGTTAGAGATTGTTCATAGCCACTCCTCGATACACCCTGGCAATCTCTTCACTATGTAGGACTCCCTTCTACGCTTTCCTACATGGGACAGCTTTCTTTACCTTTCCCATTAAGCTAATGATGTTTAAGGAGAAGGGGGACACTCATTTGTGGACTTTTCCTGCAACCATAAACTTAAAACAAAAACCAAACGAATAACTCGCTGAGCATTGTGTCATTTTGAGGGGAATAGGGAGGGTTTTTTTTTGCATATTTATGAAAGTTATAAAGTCTCAATTTCAAATATATAACATTATTTATAAAAATTATTTTAGAAGCTCAATCTTAGTCTCATTTTAAACTGAGATATGCAGGAACATGATTTTTATTCTTGTAATTGAAGTTAATTTTCGTATGCATATATTCTCACAGATGAACCCTGTAATGGAGAATACCATGTTGGGACGCAAAGCTTCAGTAGGATCTTTCCTCCCAAATAAAAGGTGAGCTTTACTTATTAAATATAGCTTGATAATGTGGTACAACACACAATCCGCTAGAAAGCAACTGATGCTAGGTGAGTATGGCTGCTGCAGTTACTGCTTTCCCTCTCAGTGGCACCTGTCTGGTTCCCATCGTCATTCTCGCATTCTCAGCTGAACTGCACGGTCCATCTGCCATCTTATTGGTTTGTAGGCTGTTTTACATCCGACCCAAATCATTGCATAACTATTGGGTTAGGAGATCTCAAAGATTACTCAGGCATAGGAAGGTCAGCAAATGCTCTGGAAGCACAAAGTAATATATTGCACCTGAGATGAGATCTCTAGTTTGCATTCAGCTTTCGAAATGATAAGTGCAATCTTGTATTGCTGCACTTGACCCATATTTCTAAGTCAACCCGCATATCTCCCGTCTTTCCATGAGAAAAACATTTTTCTAGTTAATAAGTTTCCCACTCACTCAACAAATTCTTCATAATTTTTTCAACTTGTTTCACATATCCTTACTCTTAATTTCTTCCCCATAAACACAGAAGCAACTAGAAGAGACAATCATTAAGCCTGTATCACTGAATTGATTTATGCATCCCCTTTGATGCAGACACTGTTGCTGATTGCTTCTGCTCTTCCCTGTTCCCAAGGACAACACTCGAGCCAAACCCTTCTTCACCTTTAGAATCAGCGACTTTCTGAATGCTTCTTCCAAAACTGACATTGAAATGCAATTGCCAATGTAATAGCCTTGACATCACTGTTACAAGGTGGTCAGGTGTCCTAAGGGCTCTGTTGTCAGAATAGTACAAGTTCAAATTCACAGACTGGGTCAGTAATCATTAATTTAAGGTTGTGCAGGCTGAGAGGTCCAAAAGCAGGGGGCACCCTCTGGTGTGGGCCCTCACGCTGTGGAGGAAGGGCACGTGAGCAAGCACAGGGTGCAGAGCAGATACGAGGCTGTACTGGTTTTCACAGCTCCTTCCACCCTGAGAAACCTCTAAGTGACCCAGTGACTGGTGTTGGGTGGCTGCAGCAGAAAATGCACTAAGCATGTTTTTGACGTTTCTGCTACAAAAAAATTACATTGCTGGCTCTGCCCCTTTCCTCTGCCATTTCCATCCCCCACACACACTTTTCATTCTAATGCAATTAGAATGAAATTATAATTCATTATAATGCAATACCTCCACTATCCTCTTCTATCCTCTACTCACCACTTCTCTCCATATTTTTTCGGGCCTTTTCCAAACCGTCTTTTACCTACTCCACTCACTAACACCACCCTGTGGGAGACACAGTTGACAATCAAGTTTCTGATACTTTACTGTCTCATGAAAATTAAAGGCCTCAGTTGCAGTAAAACTTATAATGTTGTACAAGACTTGATTCTTCATAAGCACTCTAACTTTGTCTTCAACAACTTATCTTCATCATTCTTTCCCTCTAACAAAATTGGCTTCCTTTCTGTTCTTTAAGATGCAAAGCATGTCTACACCTGAAGATCTGATATACTTTTTGACCAGAAAGAGCTTAGGGTGGACGTAGCCATCTAACTGATTTCTGATTTCTTCATTTCTGAGCTTGCTATCTGTATTCATTCTCATGGAAACCTCTCCCTACAAGCCCATCTAAAACTTTCTTTTCAAACTCTTTATTTCTACTTTCCTTTCATTAATTTTTCTGCAGCATTGGCCACTTTCCAGCACAATGTATAGCTTCTTGGCTATTTTGTTAATTGACCGTTGCCCTCAACAGACTGCATGCTCTTGAAGACAGAAAGCTTCATATTTTCCCCCCACTTTTACGTTGTTAGAATCTAGAAGAAAATGTCTGAACAAATCTCGTTTTACATTGCAGAAGCATTTTTCTCTGTCAAAATATCTTTTTCCCTTTTCTGCTGGGGGGCAATAATGAGGGGTGGTGGGGAGTAGCAATGAAGCCAAGCCTAACTTTTCCCTTAGCACTACCCATTGTCTTTTCTATATCTTTCCTTTCATTTTCCATGTGACATGCATACAGTACTACCCAAAGTGTTAGAAAAACTATGCAGTGCCTGCAAGTTTGAAGTTGAAATGAGTTACATCGAATCGTTAGAAAAAACAACAATATGACATATCTGCAATGGTAATCAAAGATCTTTATTTTCTATATTTAAATTCTTACAATCATTTTGGAAAAATAGTTGTGTCTTCAAATGTACTTTCACTGAAGGAAGCTGATATAACCAGAGCAGCATTTTGGGTGACTATTAAAAAAACATATTTATTATTGAAAAGTGTTTCATTCAGTTTACACTTTACACATACTTAGTACAAGTGTAAAGAGAAGTTCCAACACCAGAAGCAGGCAGCATTCCCTTTAGTGCAATTATTAGATTAGAATTAAATCTTTGGCAACTTCTGATCCAAATTAGAGATATTTTAATTTCATTAGAAATGTGCAAATGCATAAAATTTTCTGAATCTCTTTTTGAAGTGTATCTTTTTATCTTTGCTATTATCATTCTCATAGATATTTTGAGATTTATTTAACACAACATTCAATCCGATTAACATTCAAATTTAGACACGGTAATGTAATCTACTCTTCTGGATTGTTAAGTATACTCCATAAATATGCACATTGATTTTGTTCTATTACTACTCATTCCCAAAGCCTCATAGAATTGTTGTTACTCTAATCTCTAGTTATCACTAAATATATTTTTGTTAGAAAGAATATACAACATATGAAATTACAAGCTTTTATGAGCTATGACAATGTTTCAAATCCTCAAATAATATTTACAATGCAAACATCACAGTTATTACAATAGAATAAAATAAACCACAACATTCACAATACAATATATTTTATTTGGTTTGATATTGAAGTTGTTTTGTTGAACTATTCATGTAGAACTCAGAATGTAATTATTTTATCCATTTCCTTCAAGAATTCTGAAAAAGAAAGAATTTATGTCTTAAATATCAGCATGTTTTTATTTATAGAATTTCAGTTTCATTCACTCATCCACTCATACAATATGTCTATCTCTCTTGTCCCTTGTCAACATCTGTAGTAGGGGATTACGTTCTGGGATATATCAAAATAACATCTTCTGGAGACGTATGTCAGAAGGAAGCTGGAGCATGAGAGAATTCTCTCAGAGTCATGAATAACTTCCATTTGTAGGTTTCAGACATGAGTATTTCACAAGTTCTGTGCTCAGGGGGTTTATCCCAAGCTACCCTCAGAAAAAGAACAGAAGATGGAGTCTTCTCAATGCGGTGACAATTTGTAAAGGATAGAGGGACTACTAGACTTTCATATTTTGCTATTGATGATATTCCTGATGGAGAATACATTTTGTAAATATTTTTTTTCAAAAGGCTGACGCGATAACCTTTTATTTTGACCCAAGCACTTGCTTTTCTGAAACAATCCATGTTAAGGAATTGGTGTGGGCGGCACTTCGGACTTTGTGCTTCTGCTGGAGATTCAAGGGGAACGAGTGGACAAAGTGACCACTGAGAAAACCCCACAGAGGTAAGACCGTGAGTTGCCTTATGTGTGAGCACAAGGCTAGTTCAATCTGGATTTGTCAGGAGTTGGACTCCGGCTTACCTTGGGGTGACAAGGTCTTAAGGGGAACATAACCACTGCCATCCATTTCACACATTACCTACGGCCGCTTTCATGCTACAGCACAGCTAAGTATTTGTAATGGAAACACAAAGCCAGAAATGAGGGCTACTCTGAACTCTCAGAGTCAAATTTGGTACGTTTGATATGATGATGCCTTGAATTTTTGAGTAAAAATATTACAAATGTGTAACTAGTATATGTAACATATAAATACTACTAATAATTCTTTGTGAGCTAGTGTTCACATTATCACAACATAAGCCCAAAAAGAAATCTATTTTGTATCAAGTTTAGATAAAACCAGGTATCAAATGCAAAAAGCCTGCATGTGTTTTGTCTACTTGGAGGATGTTTGGGTAGAGGATGTTTGAATGCTGCTGAAGACATGGTGCTCGCATCACCTTTATTTATATGAAAATAACGAACTGGGACTTTTTTGCATGGAATTTGTTAGGCTTCAGAGTAAGGTTATGCTCAGAATATCCTGCTATTTCTTGTGATAAAAGGCCTAGTTGCAATTTGGTGATATTTCCCTATACCTAAATTAAATGAGAAGTTAGCAGTTAACCATAAGCTTAAAACTTAAACTTAAATGCAGCATGGTTCGGTTCTCAGGAATTTGTTTTCATGGAGCATAAATTAAGCGCCTCTGTTTTTCTCAAGGAAAGCAAGAAATAAACAGAAATGCCACTCAGATGCAAACTTGTCCCTGGGAAGATTCTATCTTTTTTCTGATGAGAACATTGCATGGGTTTTGAAGCTGCTTACTGAGTTGAGATGTTCTCAGTAGCAGTGTGTCTTACTGAGATGAGGTGTTCGTCCATGCTGTGTAACTCTTACCTATTTACATCATTAGGAGAACTCAGCAATACACAGATATACCCACCACTAGCAAGTTGTCACCAACTGTTCTCCAAAGAGCAGCTTCCTCACTTTTCTAACTCTTCAGGAAAGCCTGGGGATTCTCCCTCAACGCTGCAGATTGAAAAAAGAAAATTGTACTTGTTGAGGCTCTTAGATGAGAAAGTTAATAGGGAAACAATGATGGCGGCACAACTAGATCGCTCCCAGTATTCTGCAGGACACACTCGAAGAATCAGCCATTTTTGTGGTTAATTACTATATATGAATTATTCCTCAATTTTAGCATTTAAAATTAATGTTAATTATAATTTAAAGAACAAAGAGGATAATTTATCTCACGCAACATAATTATCTTTGTGGTTAATCAATTACTCCAAAATAACTGGTGTAAAGAGAGTACCTCGGTCTCTAGGGATTGTGTCTGATAGTTGCATAGAGGGGGAAATGTGTGTTTTCTGGACTCTAGATTTACAAAATGTGTTATGATTGAATTTGGCAAGGTAAAGGAACTGAAGATGCATAGGCAGGGAGTTTCATGTATTATCAATTTTCTCATTTCCTTCACTTCACACATTGCAAAACCATTGCTCTAGAGAGAATCCGTTTCCAGATTTAAAGTACTTGTCACCATAGGGCCAGTATTTTTAACTCTCGGGGCACAATAGAATCCGCTGAAGAGCTTTGAAAAGATGGTGATGTCTGAGACCACAGTCCCTGCCAACTTACTTTGTGTGAGGACCAGAAGTCAGTATTTTATTTTACAGGTGTGCTAATGTCAGTCAGCATTGAGAGTCGTTGTTTTATATAGCGTGCAAAGACAGGGAGATAGGCTAGTCTCTCTATGTAACATAGAATTTTGAAAGAATTTAGATTTCACATTTTAGCAAGTCCTCTAATTTCTTTACCTCCTCTTCCCATTCAGGATGGAGTTCAAGTATTTCTTGACAGCCATTTGCTTCCTAAGGCGTGTGTAGTTGTCGGTGAAGACGGCGTCTGAGTGGCGTTTCACTGGTACCGGCTCTTCCAGGACAGCATTACTAAGAATGGAAGGATAGGAACAGGAGAGTGTTTCAACAACAGGTTGTGGATGCAACGATGTCTCACATTTCTCAAACTCAGATAAACAAATTCTAAAAGCTTGCTATTTTCTATCACAAAAAAGCCTACAAGAAAACATAATCTAAGTCATAGGTAGAGAACAGGGGATTATCTACCATGTTCTGGCCTGGATTGGGGCACCCTTAGGAAGTGTTCTGAACACTCAGGGAATATTGACTTTGCATTCCATCGTTGAGAGTAAATTTCGTTCTAAAATGCAACCCTTAGAAGCATCACCAAAATATTCATGTATTGTCCACTGGGGGAAAAGTTTCCCTCAACAACTGATTTGAGTAGGAAGTAAGAAGCAGTATTGCTGTTTTTCATTGCCATTCAAACTTGCTTGCCTTGATACTATTTCTTATTATTTTTTACTGAGTTCAATTTGATTACACATTACAAACTATTGCTACTCAAGAAAAATAAGTGTGTCTGGAGTCAAAGAATACAATATTGCTAAGAGACTTTTCTTACCTTAACTCATGAACCTATTACGTTTTAATCAGGAATATGGATAGTTTTATGTATAAACCTTATCTAATAGTTAGCAATTTTGAATCAGGTCGATAGCTTGTTGACAGTGTCTATATAACTTGCAGATTGAGTCACTAGAATGTATTTGGTTAAAAAGAATAAATGATCTTTACCTGACGCGTTTTCCAATAAGGGACTCGAGGTACTTCTTGGCAGAGAGTTGACCCAGCAGTCTACTGAAGTCGCTGGTGAAGACTCCATCAGCATGTCTGGCATTTCTAAAATTAGTCAGAAAACAGATTTGCAAGCCGTGTTCTAGGGCACTATCTGGCTCATTAAACAACAAAGGCTATTATTAGTGCAAAATATTCTCATCGAAACAGACGCCCAGATAAGTTTCTTAGTAGTGACTCCTACCAAGCACGTTCTATGTCTCTGGTCCACACTTTGCAGAGGAACTAGACAGGTTTTTGAAAGTTAACTTCATTTTGCACAACAGGGGAGTATTCAAAGCTATTGATTTTTAGAAACATTGTGAAAAATGTATTTCTTTTCTATTTATTTATAGTGCTACATTTCCACTACCATGAATAAAGATAAAAGTAATTAAAATATCCTAATTTGTCATGTTTACAAATGTGCTATACTTATTGTTATGTCTTCTCTCATATTCTTTTACAAAAGTGGAACTTTAGAGCCACCCACCAACTTTTTCATTCAAATGAGAAAGCTTCTATGACTCTGACTTAAATCTAGAGCCACTTGTCCTGTGCTGAAAGCAGCTCTAAATGAAGAGTTCCATAAATGAACAGCGTAATAGTTTACAAAGTAATAGTTGATTCCTCGACACCTTCTCCATTATGGAGTGCAACTTGTAGTCATTTTTCCCAGAATAATACAGTCAGGGATCTTGGAATCATATATAACAGAGTGTAAGTGAATGCTTCGATTTTCTTTCTTAAACCTTTCTATGTGAAAATCAAAAGTTGCAAACATTTCGCAAACAAAAATGAAATAACATTAAGGAAGCTTGTACTGCTGTGCTACAACAATAGTCTCGTAGGAAGATGAAAATTAGAACTAGAATAGTTCTAAAGTAGATTTCCAAACAAAACTGGACCACAATAAACTTACCTGGATGCATCATAGTAGGGTGTGTCGTTTTCAGCTAACACATTTTGCAGGATGTCAGTGTCTGCTTTTAATGAAACCTGATCAGGGTCATTGGCTGCTTCCAGTGGCATTCTGTCATCCAATATTTTATGGAAAAAAAAATACATTAGAAGCAAAGTGCATTTCTTTCTCCAAAGGTAATTCAACAATTTGAATTAGATATTCAAAATTTGGAGAAGTATTACTCAATTCCAGTATAAGAATAGTATATCTGACTGAATGGATTATATGAATGATAATAATACAAATAGTAAAAACCGTCACCATTCCATAAAACAAAGGCTATTTTATATAACTTCCATAAATAAATATTACACATTTTAAACTTTTATAAGATGGATGCATCACTTGTAAGAGCTAGATTATTCAATAGTCTTCAAATCTTAACAACATCCCAAGAATATATTTACTTTTTAAAGTTGATATTGCAGGCAGAAAACTTGTGCAAAATAGAAATGTAATTGTCCATATTAAAACTATTAGCAATTTATATATTGGTTCTCTTTGTCCTAATCTCTGACAGGAGCAAAGTGTCATTCACTTTTCTCTTTAGGTCCCCAGGTTTTGCTTCAAAGATTTATGCTAGTGTGATTTATTTCTCTGTACTGATCAAATCCAAAGAATCTCCATCTATGACTAGTTACTCAAATTCATTGAACTCTGTGGGATCTTCTGGTTAACTCAGGAAGTTCCATGCTGCAGGGAACTTAAAATCAGCTGTGCTTGTCTGTGAAAGAGGACTGCACTGGTGGGCGCATGAGCATTCGTCACACCAGCACATCATAGCATCCACACGTGAGCCTTTTTTCAAGATAGTCATTGGCAGTTTGTAATAAGCACTTCTCTACAGAGCTGAGGTTGTGTGAGTGGTGCAAACTTCAGCTCAAAATCACTCATTGCTTGCTGTGAAAACATTCCAAGGGGACACATTTTGTTTAGTTATTCATACTACATAGTAGACAGTATTAAAGAAATTTCACAAAAAACACAAACAACAAGCTGAAATAATTCACTGTATGGAACACAAGTCTACCTTAAGAAGCGAATCAGAAATGGACACATAGGCAAAGAACTCACTGCTTTCCTTTAAGATGTGGTGGTATCTTTGAACTTGAAGGGAATATGAAGCTTAATGTACCCTTTATTTATTGTTCACTTACTTAGGATACATTTACTTGATTTAAAATAAAGTTTTAAGGTGAAACTGATCATTTGATACTCCATGAATCTGAATATGGAACATAACATGCAAAATAGTAAAGCTGAGGACATAAGGTTTGAATCAAATATATTAAAATCTGCTCCTTAAGGAAAAAAAGCCTTTTCATAGATACATATCTTGCCAACATGATCATTGCAAGATTTCTTGGCAACATAAACTAATGCACTATTAATATGTACCGATAGAACTTATAAAAATAATTAAAATTAGTTTGAGAACTAAACAGCTTTTTCCATAATAAAATGAATATTGACAATCAAGGAGCTCAGTATCATCCAGAATTGGCTCTGAATAAGTGGAAAGTCTGCTCTTCTCATTCTGCTGTGATTATCAGTGTGATCATCTGAAGTGGACATTGTAGTCATTGACGTTGTCTTTCATGAAAACAATACAATTCCAGAATCCACCTGTCAACTTGACATTGAAGACAAGTTGCTCAATACATCAACTGAAAGGTTGATGTACATATCACATGATTTTAAACGTTGTGATGCCCAAAATAGTAGAGGATTCACATTTAGACAAAGAGAGAATGCTTCATTGCATGAATTGCAAGAAAAACTGTCCCAAAGGGCCCTACCTCAGAGCTGCCGGGGCTCCATAAAGAGGCCACGCCAGGGTTTGCGAGAAGAGCACACTGCAAAGCGTCAGGAACACCAGGAGCTGGGGCTTGTTTCTGCTTTCCATTCCTGCACCTCTGAAGAGAAAGACACCGTTAGCATTTTAAACCACACAGGTCACAAGCCACACACTGCTGCATGTCTAGCAGTGACTTCTAAAGTCTCCTGCAGAGTTATTCGTGTTGCTGAGCAATTTTCTTGGTGGAAGAAGAGTTCAGATGGGATAGTATCACTCTTCACTGAAGAAAATTTCTCTGGGTGACAGGTGTTTGTATCCAAATTTGGAATGGATTTCTTCAGCTGCCCATCTTTCACCAGGTACTTAGCAGGCCTAATTTCATACTTTATAGTACTAGGAACAATCCTGGGAACAATAACAGCAGAGTTGTAGCATCCAATTTTAGTGTCTAAGAAAATCAATTCAAGAAATAAGTTTAAATGCTGTTATTTCTTTTCTAACTTCACTTAACCAATTTATGAAGTAGAAATTTCGCTTCTTTAAAAATTATTTGAAGACTCCAAAGACAAAGATACTCACTAAGCACTGCAGTCAAGTATATATATATATGCATACATATATATACACACACACAAGAAAAATAACTTTACTTGAATGTACTATTTGAAAAAAAATTTTAGTATGAAGCACAGTACCAAGAGGATAAAACATCTTCCAATTAAAAGAATTCATTATATCCCCACTCAGTGAGCTGAGAAATTTGTCTTGATGCTCTTATGAAGGAGAGACACCGCAAATTCTTTTCAAGGGAAAGAAAACTGAATGCATCCTGAGATAGTTGTAGACACAAAAAAGACAGGTGAAGTTTTCGCTTACCGGGCTGAGCAGTGTTCTTCGCGGTCCTGAGGGCTGGTGAGGTGTCCAAGGTGCTGAAGTCCTGGGACGCCAAGAAAGGCTCCAAGAGTTCTCTGTCCTTTCTGCTGATTGAGCTCGGCTGTTCTTGCCGGCTACTGCTCTTCACTCTGTCCTGACCAACATTTCAAAGCCCATCATTTTATAGGGCTTATCCTTGGGGCTGAGCAATCACAAAGCCCTCTGAAAGACGTCACGGTAATACTCCCACGAGATGAATAGGGCTTGAAGTTCAGGTTAAATTGTCATTATGTCTGATTTATATAAATTTGTAGTGAGTAACGTCAAGATGTAAGATAAAAAGAGGAAATTTAGTTTTTTTTTGAGGTACCAAGCTTAATCTGAAATGTGTTGATCTTTGCTTTGTCTTAATGAAATAAGAGAACGATTATGGTGTTACAGCCAGGATTACTGGGGTTCTTTTAGATAATGAGGAACCCATGTGCAGGAGCAAATGCGGAAATCTACAAATACTTCTGCTCATTATGCTTAAGTATAATTACATTTTATTACAAAGCATCAATTCCCCTAATGTCTTTTTTGCTTTCATATTATTCATGGAGATTCTGATTTGTTGCTTCTTGAATTCTATCCTAATCTTAAAAGCATCTAAACAATTTCTCACCTTTCTACTAATATATTTTCTTTTTGTTGGAACTAATTTTAAGACAAAAATTCTCAGAAGCTTTTAGCACAGCGTGATGTTCACACCACTGTATAAAACCTGAATGCTACTGCGTCGGAATGTGATCTAAAATGATCAGACTCAATATGTCAAGGAACTGAATTTTTCTTTCTCTTGAAATTCACCATTAGCACTTTGTAAGTCCTTGCTCTGTGTAGAATCACTTTGTTTTCTGCCCCCACTTCCAGAACACACACAGATGCCTACTAAGGCTTGTGAACGTCTCTGACTCAGTCACTTTACAAGTGCACTCAAAGCTTTATTTGTATTTGTTGAGCTCTTTGTAAATGTTTGTTGTAAATACTTCATTTCTATTTGTGTGTGTGTGTGTGTGTGTGTGTGTGTGTTTGAGTAGCCTGGTGTAATTTAGATCAGGATTTGGGGTAAAATACGGCTCCAGAACAATTTGGTGGACAACAAAGGAAAATGGTCTTTGCTTTTATTTCAAATAAATCGTGCTGAGTGCTTTCCTTTCCGTTTTTACTTGCATGTTCCACAAGGAAGAGAGGAAAAGGAGCTGCGGCTCTCTCTTTCTTCTTTAACATTTTTGCATCATTTTGCTTCATTCAAAGTCTGGCTGATCTAGTAAAAGAATACCTTGCTATGCTTAATCATGTTTTCTAATCTGGTTACAAGAAAAATTAAATGAATTAAATTTCAAATGTCTGGAAATTTGTTTGCCAGTTGACAGCTCTGACTTAAGCCAGAGTTCCTGTGGCTTAATTCCAGGAAGTCTTTTTTTACCTGATTATTACAAAACAGAGGTTGAAATGATTCTCATTCGAATTTTTTTTATCCTTAACTGATTGTTCCTCAGCCCTCAAAGATCCAGGTTATGATGTAAGAACAGTAATGGCCAAGGAAGATGATTGGAATTCATAGGCAAATAGATGCTGTATGGTAAGTAGAAAGAAAAGACATAGAACAAAAAGGCCTTAGAATTTATCACTATTTGCTCTAAGCAAGTACTTAGCATTTTCAAAGAATAATCCTACTATCCTTTTTCCAATTATAAATAAATTTATTCCTATAATAATAATAAAACTTAAAAAATAAGGAGAAAGAATTCAATTCTCTTTTCTCTTGTGTAAAAAAAAATATTACAGAAAGTAAAGTTACAACTTGCATTTTCTTCCTAATGAATTTAAATTAGAAATCAAAGCTATTTTAAAATAGGTTCATAGCACCCTCTGCAGGTTCAAAGTCTTAATTCACAGATTGCTATAAAAATTTATTTTTTAATTCTTTTTAAAAAATGGAGTGTAAAATAAAGGTTCTTTAACCAAATTCTAAGTGCTTCTAGAAAAATAAGTGTGAGACAAAGTACGGATATTAACTCTATCTAGAATATTGCAGCAAGTGCAACTAAGCCGACTTCATCTTTCCATAAGGTAGAAAATGAATTTTGCTGGAGAGTTGGGTAAATTCTGGGGAAGAGATGTCAGAATGAAGAAAATGAAGAATGGAGAAGTCAGCTGGAAAGGATGTTCAAGGTTAGGAGAAGGGCAGAAATTCCGAGTTAGACCTCTGATTTGCAGCGCAGAGGACTAATGGAGGCTCCTCTGGCTCTGGGGACTGCTGTCCTCCTTGTGGCAGCCTTGTCTCCTTAGCTCACACTCAGCCCCAGGACCTGCCCAGCATCGCCACAAAAATCCCAAGGGGGTCAGTCTAGATCTGGGGGCTGAAAACTACTGGCAGAAGGCCCAAGACTCATCTCTCTGGTTTTTACATGTGTTTCTCAAGCTAATAATAGTATTTATAGTTTAGGTGGTAAAAAATGTAAAGAATGTTTTTGTCACATACAAAAATTATGGGGAATTTAAACATCAGTGATTAAAAAAGAGTCTTATCGGGGTATGAAGATACTCATGATGTATGTATGAGCTAAGACTGTTTTTGTGGTACCACACAGTTGAGCAGCAGCGACAAAGACTGTGTATATTCTTTTTTAATAAAAAAGATTTATTTAAATATTTGGGATGCAGACTCACACAGAAAGAAAGATTCATCCTTTATCAACTGCTTAAGTTTCTAACTGAAACAGCCAGTGAGAGGCCAGGCAGAAGCCATCCTGGATCCAGTAGCCTCCTTTGGCTATCCCATGTGAATGTGGGGGTTCAATGACCCGGGCCATCCTCCCCTGCCCTTCCCAACCTGTCATCAGGGAGCTGGATCAGAAGTGAAGCAGCCAAGACATGAACCAGTGCTCTCATAGTCTCATAGGATGCTGGCACTGTAGTCAGGGACATTACCCACTTCACCACAAGGTCGGCCTCGAAATTGCATAGTTTGTAAAGTCAAGCATGTTCACTCTTTGGTCCTTCACAAACACAATTTGTCAGTTCTTACTGTAGAAAACTCCCGTTTCAAGAAGAAATTGAAGTTGCACGTTCTCTTCAATATTCTCAACTCTTACAATTTTCTGTATATTTTATTAGGAAATATGTACACATATTTAATGAATAGCATATTCTATAATATCTATATCATATATAAAAATATATATAATAAAATTGGTAGATACATGCATTTATTTCACTTACTCCAGCATTGTATGACCTCCCAGCACCCTTAAATTTGTTTGTCTGCCTATTTATTTATTTAAAAGGTCGAAAGAGGAGGAGAAAGGGAGCGGCAGAGGGAGGTTTCCAGCTATTGAATTCCTTTACAAATGCCTGCAAGAGCCAGCAGTCAGACCCAAGCCAGGAGAGCAGAACTCAGTGTAGATTACTCATAATCATGGAAGGGACACCCATGGTTGAGCCATCACCTGCTCCTGCCCAGGTGTGCATTCGCAGGAAGCTGCGATTCGGTTCAGAGCCGTGACTTGAACCCACGCACTCAGATATGGGGTCGCACATCTCAAGTGGCGTCTCAACCACTGTGCCAAGCATCAGCCCCTGATCCCTTTGGCTTCCTCCTAGAGAGGAGGTGATGGTCTCAGCAGCCAACTCAGCTGTCCTTGGTGCTGAGTGTTCTCCAGGTCCCCCTTGGGTCTGTGGTCTGCTCTCTCCCATTTTGCTTCTTATTGCCTGGAGGCAGATCTCAGGGACTTCATCCTGTAAACTCCATGGTCTGTTGGCTGCTGCTTGGGTTAGAAAAGAGAAGCACCAGACACGTATCAAAAGGGCTGCAAAAGGAAAGAAAGTTTTTATTTCCCTGTAAACCATGACATGCTTGGGGACCCAGTTTCACCAGACTGGCCTGTATCCTATAGCCCTTGAAGGTGCTATCAGCCCCCTGCTAAGGCTAGTCTCTGGTAGTTCCCTAACTGTTTGCTTCTTTCATGTCTGCTGGATGCTCATCAGTTGGCTTAGAGGGAGCCATATACATCTCTCCTGGATCTTTACTGGTGTACTCCCATTCCTGTACCACACTTTACTACGTTGGATGTACTAGAAATAATTTGATGCAATAGCTTTATAAAGTTTGATCATTTGAAATAATTTAGCATTTTCGAGTTGAAGGAATCCTTAAAACTTCCCTTGTCAAACTTGGAGGAAGGTCACTCTAGCCCTGAGCAGGCCTGTCGGATTGGTGAGCAATTAAGTTTTGAAGATTGAGGCTGAAGCACATACAAATTAGAAGCCCACTCAGGCCTTTGATGTTGTGCAATTCCCTCCAGGAAAAGAGGTTGGATCTGCGGCTGACACACGGCTGGGGGAAAGGTCAGTAGGCTGCCAGAAGCCAGACACCAGCCTCGTATGGGGTCTTTGAGAAGGAGGAGCACAACTGTGGGATGGTGACCTGAGGCAAGCAGCTTCTGTGTGCCCAGGACTCCTGGCGCCCAGTCCTTAGGAAAGAAACCTCATTGTCTAGGAAACAGGAGCTGTGACGATTTGATGAACATTTTCTTCCTAATCATCATTCCAATATCCTGTATCCGTGGTCATTTCTCCAGTGATTTCCAGTCAGGGAGACTGACGTTCTTGTTTCTGACTCATACAACCACCGTCTTCAGCACAAATAAGTTAAAATAATACAGTCATGCCACATTGTTTTTGAGAAATTGTACCAATTCCACATCAAAAAGAGGAAAATTACTTCAATGAGTAGCAGAGCTGAGATTGGGCACTATTCCCCGTCCCAGTTGAAGCAAATTAAGAACATACAGACTAGAGAATAGGGTACAAACACCCAAATGACAGAGAAGAGTGGGGAGGTAGGTGACCACCCTGCAGCTGTGAACATCTGAATTACCATGGGCTCTTGTGTTTTGATAACGCTGATAGGTAAGTTCAATGATTTTTGTGACTTGGAAACAGTTCTTACATAAAGCCATGAAGTGGAACATTTGAGTAGAATCATTCACTAGGTACATACTATTCCCTGTGTCTCGGAGAGCATCATATAGGACTGCATCATGTACATGACTAAGTTGCTACATGTGATGCCAGAATATTGTATGGGCACCTGTTTGTGTCCTTGCCAA